TATGGGGAAGTTGCAAAATTAACTTATGTTGATTGTTTATGGGAGTTGGGGTATAATATACTATATAATTTCTACTTATATAGACACCTTGGGGTTTGATTGACAATGCATAAGTATGATGGGGGTCGCATGACGATATGGGGAAGTTGCAAAATTAACTTATGTTGATTGTTTATGGGAGTTGGGGTATAATATACTATATAATTTCTACTTATATAGACACCTTGGGGTTTGATTGACAATGCATAAGTATGATGGGGGTCGCATGACGATATGGGGAAGTTGCAAAATTAACTTATGTTGATTGTTTATGGGAGTTGGGGTATAATATACTATATAATTTCTACTTATATAGACACCTTGGGGTTTGATTGACAATGTATAAGTATGATGGGGGTCGCATGACGATATGGGGACGTTGCAAAATTAACTTATGTTGATTGTTTATGGGAGTTGGGGTATAATATACTATATAATTTCTACTTATATAGACACCTTGGGGTTTGATTGACAATGCATAAGTATGATGGGGGTCGCATGACGATATGGGGAAGTTGCAAAATTAACTTATGTTGATTGTTTATGGGAGTTGGGGTATAATATACTATATAATTTCTACTTATATAGACACCTTGGGGTTTGATTGACAATGCATAAGTATGATGGGGGTCGCATGACGATATGGGGAAGTTGCAAAATTAACTTATGTTGATTGTTTATGGGAGTTGGGGTATAATATACTATATAATTTCTACTTATATAGACACCTTGGGGTTTGATTGACAATGCATAAGTATGATGGGGGTCGCATGACGATATGGGGACGTTGCAAAATTAACTTATGTTGATTGTTTATGGGAGTTGGGGTATAATATACTATATAATTTCTACTTATATAGACACCTTGGGGTTTGATTGACAATGCATAAGTATGATGGGGGTCGCATGACGATATGGGGAAGTTGCAAAATTAACTTATGTTGATTGTTTATGGGAGTTGGGGTATAATATACTATATAATTTCTACTTATATAGACACCTTGGGGTTTGATTGACAATGCATAAGTATGATGGGGGTCGCATGACGATATGGGGAAGTTGCAAAATTAACTTATGTTGATTGTTTATGGGAGTTGGGGTATAATATACTATATAATTTCTACTTATATAGACACCTTGGGGTTTGATTGACAATGCATAAGTATGATGGGGGTCGCATGACGATATGGGGACGTTGCAAAATTAACTTATGTTGATTGTTTATGGGAGTTGGGGTATAATATACTATATAATTTCTACTTATATAGACACCTTGGGGTTTGATTGACAATGCATAAGTATGATGGGGGTCGCATGACGATATGGGGAAGTTGCAAAATTAACTTATGTTGATTGTTTATGGGAGTTGGGGTATAATATACTATATAATTTCTACTTATATAGACACCTTGGGGTTTGATTGACAATGCATAAGTATGATGGGGGTCGCATGACGAGATGGAGATATTGCAAAATTAAGTATAGTAATAAGATTTAATTTCTAATTATGTAGAATTATGTTACATATGAATGTGGATGGTTATAAGGGCAGAGGAAGGCCGAAAAAGAGATGGATGGACTGTGTGAAAGATGATATGGTGAGAAAGGAAGTAAATAACGAGATGACTGCGAACAGGGATGAATGGAAGCGAAAAACATATTACGACGACCACAAATAAATGGGATAAGGAAGAAGCAGATGATGATACATATGTAGATACCTTGGGGCTTGATTGACAATGCATAAGTAGTACCTACGACAGGGGTCAGGATCAGGGTCAGGGTCAGGGGGTTGACGATAAGGCGATATTGCAAAATTAACTTATGATGATTGTTTTCGGGAGTTGGGGTATAATATTTAATTCCTAATTATATAGAATACAAATAAACTTAATTTTAGCACTTTTAAACAGTCATAACATTTTTTTTATCTACTTCTCGTTCAGAAATCTGTCTCATCACAAGAAGAACGAGCAAGAAACTTGTGTGTTACTCTTTTAAATAATCCTTGTAAGTTTACACTTACAAGTCGAAACGTATGAATACAAACTACCAAACAGCACTAATTTATTTGGGTCAAATATAAATATACAATAAGATTAAATTAGTCGTAGTGATAAGAGCAGCACTCGTTCATGAGTATGACGGATGAGCCAGCCATCATTGCGCTCGACCATATTTTAGAGAGCCCAATGACCCTATTGTGCTCCTTATGTTTAATTTATATCTTCGTTATAAAAGTAACGAAGAAAAAAATTAAACATATAAATCATATACCATTTAAAGCTAGATATTATTCTATTATTGATTTATAAGATATATATTCTTATAATCTGGAACCACTTAGGTTCCAACGTATGGGGATGAATTCCCTGTCTATGGTGAGCGGTGCTATGGTAAAAAGGTCGTAGGTATGAAACATCCATTCGTACTCACAAACTATATAATATTATTTATTTATTTAATTCAGACTACATGGCCCATATTATACATACCTTATAGACTAATATACATAAATTCAAATTCAAAAATCATTTATTCATGTAGGACATTTTAGCCGCTTATGAATGTCAAATTTTTACATTATAATTTTATTTTTTTCCCTACCGTCCAGTTCGGTATATAGATCCAATTGAGAAGAACTGGCAAGAAACTCAATTGAATTATGTTTTTTTTAAAGCCAGTTTATTTACAATGTATATTTATATAGGTGTCTATGTCTAACATTAAATGAAAATTCAGTGCATGAACAACTATTGCCACGCACACTCGTCATTCAAGTAAAAAAAATTATATGCTATGTGAGCATCATCATCATTGTGTTGTGATGTGTGATTGCAATAAATATTATTCTATTATTTCAAGCATATTTAGAACAGACTCGGGCAATTTGTTCCACAACTGACTCGCACACTACGAGTGCATGCAGTGCACAGTGCAACAAATTGCCACAATAACGCGAAACTCCTACATTATTCACGTGCTGAAAACTGTTTCGAACCTATTAATATTCAGCACTTCGGAGTGAAAAAATAGTTTGCGATTTTGAACGGACGGGAAGAGGCGTTCTCAAAGGAGTCTGACGCCGCGCTGCAACAACCACCCAATAACTGCTTGGTGCAGAGTTATTGAGTACTTGTAGGCTTAACTTAATAACATATATTTTTGTCCCTTCGTATTTAATTGCAGTATTTTTTTTTTATATTCATACTAGCTACTATTATATTTTATTTATAATAATAATAATATTAATAATCTCAGGATAATTCACACAGCATCATCCAGTCGCGAGTTAAGCTAGCTAAAAGCTTGTGTTATGGGTACTAGATAATTGATACGAATACATAGATTTTTTTTTTCGCAAATACATACATAGTATACGTAGATAATACCCAGATTGATACAAACAATCATACTTATGAATACAAATGTTTGTGCCGTGCGAGGAATCGAACCTGCGACCATCGGACATAAAGCGATGTAGACCGCTAGACCACCGAGGTCGTCGAGTATTTATATAAACTTTCTTCTTGAATCACTCGCAAATACATACATAGTATACGTAGAAAATACCCAAACTGATACAAACAATCATACTCATGAATACAAATGTTTGTGCCGTGCGAGGAATCGAACCCGCGACCATCGGACGTAAAGCGGTGTACTAGACCGCTAGACCACCGAGGTCGTCGAGTATTTATATAAACTTTCCTCTTGAATCACTCTATCTGTTAAAAATTGCGTAGTTTTAGAATTTTAAGCATATATAGCGACAGACCGCGACAGCGAGTTTGTTTTATACTATATAATGATGATGAAAATGATTATTTTTCATGATTAAAAGTAGCCTAATAATAGAATCATCTCAATAATGATGGTATAATTAATAAACATTGCTCTAACTAAATACTGTTTAGGTTAACGTAGAGATTTCAACGGTACGCCAACTATTTAACTGGCCGGACTACCTCGCAAACTAATAAAGTAAATCCGATTACCATGGCAATGCTCCAAATTCTGTTCACGCTTCTAGAACATTCCAGATTCCACTAATTGGTTCAACAATAATTAATATCCAATAGAGACTCACAATCATCGTCATTACATAGTATAAAATAAAGTCGTTGTCGCTGTCTGTCCCTATGTATGCTTAAATCTTTAAAACTACGCAACGGATTTTGAAGCGGTTTTTTTTATTTCTTATATATAAAATTCTCGTGTCACAATGTTAGTTACCATACTCCTCCCAAACGGCTTGATCAATTTTTATCAATTTTTAAACGTATATTCAGTAGGTCTGAGAATCGGCTACTATCTTTTTTTCATACCCCTAAGTGGTAAGGGATGTCCACCCCTAAATATACTTTTTTTATTTTTTCGACATAATATTTTATTTTCATTTGATTATTATTTAGAATTGAAAAATACATACAACTCTAAATTTTCACCCTTCTAGAATGAATCAGAATTTTTTAATATCAATTTTAATTTGTAATGCAAAACAATGTTTCCGAGGTCAGCTAGTATATCATTCATCACTTCCTTGCCTTTATCCCATTATTTGTGGTCGGCGCAGTATGTCATTCTCTTCCATTGCTCTCTATCGGTCGTCATATCTGAGCATACTCTTCTTTTATTCATATCATCTTTCACACAATCCATCCATCTTTTCTTAGGACGTCCTCTCCCTTTACATCCATCTACATAAGACATGATTCTCGTTCCTCCGCATAACATGCCCATACCAGCTCAATCTGTTACTTCGCAACTTTTCTATAACCGGCGCAACTTTCAAACTTTCTCGTATATACAGATTCCTTATTCTGTCATTCCTGGTAACCCTACACAACCATCTCAACATTCGCATTTCTGCCACATGCACACGCCTTACATCCGTCTCCTTTACGGCCCAACGTTCAGATCCATACAAAATGACAGGTCTTACGAAAGATTTATAATCTTTACCCTTTAGTTTCAAGGGCATTCGGGGGTCGCATATAGTTCCCGAGATCTGTCGCCATTTCCATCCATCCCGCACTAATTCTGTGCCTTACATCGCGGTCTACGTCGGCATTGTTCTGAATAACTGAAGCGAGGTACCGAAAATCAGAGCAGACTGGAAGCATTACACCGGTTAGGCAGATAGGCTTGAAACTGGAGAGACCGCCGAAATCGCAGAATAGGTATTCAGTTTTAGTTCTTCTGATTTTCAAGCCAACACTCTCCAGTTTTTCTTGCCATCTATCTAGTCTACTCTGGACCTCGAGTCCATCCTCACCAACAACCACTGTCAGCATATAGCATACACCAGGGTACCTCGTCCTGAATTTCCGATGTCGGAGCATCCATTACAATGAGGAAGGGAATAAAAGCTTATAGCCGAACCCTAGTGTAAGCCTACCGCCACACTGAACTTGTCGGAGGCACCTACCGCCGATCGGACATAAGTATTAGACCGGATGTACATGGCACGTATTAGATCTACATACATCCCTGGCACACATTTCTTCTTTAGGGCCCACCACAAAACTAGGTGGGGAATTCGGTCGTATGCTTTTTCGAGATCGACAAATACCATGTGCAAATTTTTATTTACACTCCGGTATTTTTCGCACAGCTGGCGTAGTGCAAAAATGGCATCCGTGGTCCCTCGACCAGGCATAAAATCGAATTGATTTTGTGAAATATCACACTCCTCTCGCAAGCGTCTCTCTAGCATTTTCTCCCACACTTTTATAGTATGTGATATAAGCTTTATTCCTCGATAATTGCTGCAGTCTTGAACATCACCCTTATTCTTGAAGATAGGCACCAATACGCTTTGACATTCTTCAGGAATCGTTTCTTCATGCAACAACTTATTGAAGAATAAAGTGAGCCACTTACATCCATTTTCATCGAATAACTTCCATACTTCCACTGGTATTCCATCTGGTCCTACGGCTTTACTGTTTTTCATACTTCGCACAGCTTGTCTTACTTCTTCCATTCTTACTTCTCTGACTTATTCCATGAATTTTCTTCATTCGTTAAATTTCAAAGTAAATTTTCCATCGATCCTTTATACCATCTTCTTTCATAAGAACCTTTCCTTTATCATCTTTTATAGATTTTATATATACTCCATCGTTTGTTAGACGACCTCGGTGGTCTAGCGGTCTAGCACACCGCTTTATGTCCGATGGTCGCGGGTTCAATTCCTCGCACGGCACTAACATTTGTATTCATGAGTATGATTGTTTGTATCGGTCTGGGTTTCTTCTATATATAATATGTATGTATTTACGAAAAAACAATTATCTATGTATTTGTATCAGTTATCTAGTACAAGCATTAACTAGCTTAACTTGGGTATAGATGGCGTTGTGTGAATTGTCCTGAAATTATTATCATTATTATTCTTATCTATTATCAGCTAGTATATATATATATGTATATATAATTATATAAAACACCTTCCCGACTGTGAAGTACACATCGTAATCTCCTCAAATTGTCCCGTTTATGCACATTTTTATGAGAAGTAAAGCCGCAACACATTAGCTGTGTTAACGAGAAAATAAAAGCAACCTTTTAAATGAATTAAGTAATCTTATCGTCCGTTTATCGCCGGCTTTTTACGCAAAGTAAATTAAACTGAAATTGTCGGGCTAACATTAGGTTGCAGGGCTCTGTTCTCGTTATAATATATTTAATATATATTATCTTATTAAAATGAGGGTGACGCAGCTGGAATCGAGTTACAACGCGAGCTTCAAAGTGTTCATGGCCCGGGTCCCCACCAACATGCTGCACACCTTCATGAAGGAGGACTACTGTCCGAAGGGTGTACCGGCTCTACTTGATTGCCGTCATCAGTGCCGTGACCATAGAGACAATTTTATTTTTACTTTTTATTATTATTTCTTATTCCATTACTCTTATTCCAAAAAACAGAAATATTCATAATATTAATACAAGATTTAAAGACAAACTTGCTGTCCCCAAGTATCGTTTAGAAAAAGTTAATAGGTCTTTTATGGGAATAGGTATAAAAATTTACAATAAAATACCAAAGGATATGTTGGAATTACCCTTAAATAAATTCAAAACATCTGTTAAATCATATTTACTGAGCAAAGCCTATTACTCACTAAACGATTACTTGAATGACGAGTGTGCATGGCAATAGTTGTTTTGCACTGAATTTTCATTTAATGTTAGACATAGACACCTATATAAATATACATTGTAAATAAACTGGCTTTAAAAAAAAAAAGTAATTCAATTGAGTTTCTTGCCAGTTCTTCTCAATTGGATCTATATACCGAACTGGACGGTAGGGAAAAAAATAAAATTATAATGTAAAAATTTGACGTTCATAAGCGGCTAAAATGTCCTACATGAATAAATGATTTTTGAATTTGAATTTGAATTTGAATTTGAATTTATGTATATTAGTCTATAAGGTATTGTTAGGAGTATCCTCTAAATTTAATTAAATAAAAGAAACTGATAACAAATCGTATAATTAATTTTAACAAAATCAGTAAAAGAATTTATAAAGCAAACACGGTATGATACGGAGATTCGTTCGAGAGCACGTCTGTCGACCAAAAGAGGCCGCACACCGGGTTTCGCAGCCTTTTATAGACGCGCCGCACGACGGTGGCGCCACCACAGGAAGTTACACCTAACACGGCCTCTCCTGACGGAGCATCGTCCCCGATGCTTTCTGGTCACGGCGCGTCGTCTGGTCCGACTGCTAATCTTATGCGCTCTGTCCAGGCTGAAAGTATTCTCAGGGCTATTGCTCGGAGACGAGTCAACAGTGACTCTTCACAACCTGTGAACCATAAGTTAGTGGTAAGCATTTTATTTTTGGAAGTAGGATCACGTTGCCTCACAAGGACTAATTTAAATCTGATCTAAGCTTGTATACATAGAAGCCACACAAAGCTTTATACGAGAGGTAACCTATAACACACTTTACGCTACACAGAGCCTTACACGAGATGTATCTTATAACACACTCGATGCTGCACAAAGCCTTACACGAGGTGTATCTTATAACACACTCGATGCTGCACAAAGCCTTACACGAGGTGTATCTTATAACACACTCGATGCTGCACAAAGCCTTACACGAGATGTATCTTATAACACACTCGATGCTGCACAAAGCCTTACACGAGGTGTATCTTATAACACACTCGATGCTGCACAAAGCCTTACACGAGGTGTATCTTATAACACACTCGATGCTGCACAAAGCCTTATACGAGGTGTATCCTTTAGCACCCTCGATGCTGCACAAAGCCTTATGCGTGGTGCTACCTAATACACACTCGACGCTGCACAAAGCCTTACACGAGGTGTATCCTATAACACGCTCGATGCTGCACAAAGCCTTATACGAGGTGTATCCTATAGCACCCTCGATGCTGCACAAAGCCTTATATGAGGTGCTTACCTATTACACACTCGACGCTGCACAAAGCCTTACACGAGGTGTATCCTATAACACACTCGATGCTGCACAAAGCCTTACACGAGGTGTTACCTAAATACCTTACGATAAAATTTATCTCAAAAATACAAATTACATTAGAAAAACTCAAATTCCTTTTTGACTCTACTCTATTTTGACTCTGTATAGATTAGAACAATAGAGAAAGCATTTGAGTGTACGAGAATATATTTGTATTCGTTACATTTTATGTACTGCATCATAAGGTATTGAAAGTATAGTGGACCTGGACATTGGGTGGAGAGGAACGTGATATAAAGTATAAGGTAACATGTTTACACATTAAACAAACAATTCCGTGCTCTATAGTATTTCTTTACAAGATGGACCCTACTTTGAAACCGTCAACTAATTTGAACTCGACAACGTTTCCACGTCAATATGGTCAACACGTAGTCTTTAGAAATATAACAATAATCGCGACTTTTTCTTATAGAGATATGTTAATAATTATTTTCTTTAAGATTTATTTTCTTTATATATCGCAAACTATTCAACTGCCCTTGTACAAGTAGTTTCATCATCAGCAGCATATGCTACTACGATTCGTGAGGTTATTAAAAGGATTTCGATGCGTGTGATATGAACTAACCTTTACGATATTCAAACGTCAAATCACGATCCTGTAGGCACATTCACCAGCGCACTACCCTAGGCAAGAGATCCTCTTATAATTTTCAGGGCGTTGCAGTTAGTTACTACCCTAAAATGTTTTCCGATGAGATGACGATGTTGCAATGCCTTGACAACAGCAAGTATCTCGAGCTCAGGAGTAGTACCTTGGATCTGCACATATTGTAAAGCTACTGCGTGTATACGTCCGTCTTTTCCTATTTGAATTAGTACCGTAACCTAGTGCACTTGCATCCGTATGGACTTCAGTCCGTAAATGGTCAAAGATAAGCAACGCGGATTGACTAGCCAATATAGAGATGATCTCATCTCTCTAGTTTCTATTCTTTTCCCCGTTAAAATTTCAAGAGGCGATTTGGGTGTATCACGGGATATACCGAATAAGATAGCTGACCAGTATCACTAAATAATATCAACTAAATATTGCACAAACCATGTCAGCTCTCCTTAAATGATATTGTTTGCATTTGATCAGTTCATTTTTATTATACATCGTCTCAACCGACAACATCGTATTCCGCAACAAGCAGCTTCGACAGTTTTTGGTATCCAAAACTACTACGGCGTTTATTTTCTCTGTCCGTCATACACATGAACGAGGACTGCTTGTAGAGACTTTCCTACTCTAACACCGCTTTAATCTTATTTACTTAATCAACCAATTGATTGCGTATTTAATATTTAGATTTTAATGATTTAGTACTAATTCGCAGTTTGTATTCACACATTTGAACTTAAAATGTACAGTTACCACAAGTGTTCAAAAAAGCAACAGACTTAGTCTTCCTCGCTCGTTCCTTATACGATAAGATAGTTCACGCGGAAGATTCAAAAATAAGTATTACTTGATGAATGAATGAAATGCTCAAATTGAAATTTGTTTGAACGAAGAATCCATCATTTCTTTTTGGATACGTTCGGCCTGACCTGACTCTTACAAATAGTTCCAGTCTCCTAGGATACACAACCTCAGGAGCGAGGTAATTACACTTAGCGGAAATGAATTGTAAACCTGGATTTTCACACGCATGCTTAATTTATAACTGTAAAATAATTTATATGGTCGATTCGGTAATTAACCGTCGTACCTACATAACGCTACTTCGTTAACAAGTAGTCGAATGTGTATCTCTATACGGTATTGACCATAGCTGT